CATGTTGTGGCATCATGTAGCCATAATAGCCCAGACGCCATGAAAACAGCAGAGAGAGAGAGAGAGAGAGAGAGAGAGAGAGAGAGAGAGAGAGAGAGAGAGAGAGAGAGAGAGAGAGAGAGAGAGAGAGAGAGAGAGAGATGGAGTCCGCCAGGTTAGGAGTCCGCCGAACGTGTACGGGAGGGAAGAGGGATAGACGCAGACGCAAGAGGCGGGAAGGAAAAGTCCAAGCGAAGCACACCAGCTCATGACAACAACGCGCGCGCGCAGGCGTGCGCCACACGCCAGTGAGTACCAACAGCCCCCATGTCCCCGGCACACAGTGTTCGATGTGCATAGGGTCAACAGCAACGAAGCAAACTCGTGCGCTTTTCACCACGAGGTCAGGTATTGCAAGTCGACCCACTGAAGAGAGCATGGGGGGGAGGGGCAGGCCCTTGAGTGCCCAGCCACTTACCGCGAAAAATATATACTTGCAACCCCGCATCTTCCGGCATGCACCCCTAGCGAGCCTTCCCGGCGGGTCACTCAACAGCAGTCTGGAGGTGAAAAGGGCCCCGTGATGACTTACCTGTCCGTGCCCTACCACTACCGCCTTGAAGATCGAGCATATTCCCGAAAAACAACCAACGATTCAACTAAACAGGAAAACTCACAAGGAATCGGAGAAAACACAAACCCCTCTTTAGACCATGCAGACCTCTCTTTAGGTCATGCAGGCCAACAGTATTGTAGAGCAGAAAAATTCATGGGGGTTGGTCGTTTCATGGTGCACTTCGAGAAGTATATTTCGCGCACATGTTCTCTCGGATAAAACTCTACCCAAGCACGCCCCATTTGACCTTGTGGAGCTGAGAAAAAATTTCTTGCGGACAAAAAAACATTGGTGGCTTTCGTACCACATTCATACCGCTGACAGGTTTGCCTTCTCTCGTCTCCCTTGCCACTCTTCTTTTTGTGCTTTTCATCCCCACAGGGAAAATTACCTCTATGAACTCCGAGTAGATCGCGAAGGGTCTGGACGGCGTGAGGTGCGGGAGCATGGCGTCGACGGCAGCTATGGGGTCGAACTTGCAAGCGATCACCAGGCAGTCGCACCCCTGCCGCAGCCAGTCCCGGACCTTCATTTTTTGTTTTGCAGCAGCAGCAGCGTGGGTACAACGGCAGATGGATTGCTAGAATGTCCTCGGAGTGGGGTTCGCCTTCGCGAGAAAAGTTTATTAGTAAACAAAACAGGGAGGGGGTACGCAGACTCTCCCCGATTGCTTGCTCTATCCAACATGTTTACATAAACGAAAAAACCTGCGAAGGGTACTGCGGAGTGGGTCGGTGTCCCGATCGGGGAGCGGCGGAGGAGAGCGGAAGGTAAGGTCGGTCCGTCAAAACATCCTTTCGGCGAAGCAAGAAACCGAACCACGCGACCAAAATTGTGTCTTGTCTCTTTATCCTCACCTGCCGCGGCGCTGGCCTGTGCTTATTCCGCCGCATCCTGGCCAGTTTCCTCTCGATCCTGGCCGGTCGATCCTGCTCCTCCCCCAGCACAAGCAGCAACAGAGGCGGCGTTCGGCAGCGGGGACAGCGAAGGCAGGGGGGTGACGGAGTCACGATCCGCACGGCGGCGGTAGAGGGCGCGATGAACAAGAAACTATATTCGCGTTGCGACGCTGACGCAGGGATAGATGCCAATAGGTGGTTTTGAGCTTTGGCGGGGGAGTGTAGGGGGGCCGGGGAATACCTTCATTGTGCCCTGTCTTCCACGGTCTCACCTTCCGTTGCAACAACAACAACAACAACAACAACGAAAACGACGACGACGACGACAACCCAAGTTACCCCACCCCGGCAAAGAAAACACAAGCCGAACATTAAAACGACCGACCCGAACGAATCAGACTGCAACCCCCCGAAACCACACCCCCGACCACCCGAACCCTCGCCAACGTACCTTCTCGGGCACCCCGTGGTCGTCCATGACCGTCCTATACTCCGCCAGCGCCTCCTCCTCGGTGCGGCTGTCCCCGGGCCCCCCGTCATCCACAGGGTCAGCCTCTCGCTCCGACTCCGGGATCGACAGCCGACCGAGCTCGCTCGTGTGCAGCGGCAGCAGGCACTTGAGGAGGTTCTTCTCGGCATGATCGAACTTGCGCACCTGGTGGAACCGTGTGTGTTTGGGGGGGGGGGGGGGGGGGGGGGGGGGCGGGTGGGGTTGGG